GGGGGGTGGGGCGGGGGAGGAACAGCAGGCTGGGGTCCCTCAGCCCCGGGGGCTTCCTCCTTGCAGCCCCCTGAGGATGACGCAGCCATCGTGGGAGCTGTGCGGCTCCTGTCCGTGCTGATTGCCGCCCTCACCATGGACCTGGCCGGCCGCAAGGCTCTGCTCTTCGTCTCAGGTGAGCACAGGCTGCTCACCTGCACTCATTCACTCCTTCAGCAGCTGCCACGTGTCTTGCCAGCCCTCGCGGTGGGAGCGCCAGGGGGGCCTGGGTCGGACCTGCCCTGGTGGCCTCCGTCTCCCCAGCGTCTCCCCAGCGTCTCCCCAGCAACCGGCGAGGGCCCAGGCATCCAGAAAGGTCTGCTGGGGCTCATGGGAGCAAATGAGCTGACGATGGGTGTGACGGGAGCCCAAACGCGGGCTGGGTGGGAGCTGGCTGACCTGCAGGAAGAAACCTCCAGTCACAGGCGGCCTGAAGGGGACTGGGCCACACGGGGTACAGGGCGCTGAGGGGTGCTGGCTCAGAGGGTCCCGGCCCCCCGAGGGCCATCTGTCTGTCCACAGCGGCCAGCATGTTTGCTGCCAACCTGACACTGGGGCTGTACGTCCATTTCGGTCCAAAGCCTCTGACCCCCAACGGCACCATGGGCCTGGAGAGTGTGCCCCTGGGAGGCACAGAGCAGCCCCTGGCCACGCCCACCAGCTACCTCAGCCTGGTGCCCCTGCTGGCCACCATGCTCTTCATCATGGGTAGGTGTGGCCGTGCTCTACGGGGTCTGGGCACGGGGCTGTCTTGGGTGTGAGGTGCGGGGACGCGCCGGTGTTGTGGGCGGTGTCGCTGCCATCCTGGCGGCTGGGGAGCCGTCTCTCAGCAGCTCCAGGGAGACACGCCTTCTTGCCCGCCGGAAATTATAAAAGAACCCCCCCCCCCCCCCCCCCCCCCGACAAATGGGCTCTGAGCCCGCCCCTCCCCGCTTCCGGCAGGCTACGCCATGGGCTGGGGGCCCATCACCTGGCTCCTCATGTCCGAGATCCTGCCCCTGCGGGCCCGCGGCGTGGCCTCGGGGCTCTGCGTGCTGGTCAGCTGGCTCACCGCCTTTGCCCTCACCAAGTCCTTCCTGCTGGTGGTGGTGAGTGCTCTGCCCCGGGGACCCGAGGCCTCTCTGGCCAGTGCCGAGGGCCGTGCTGAGGCTTCTCCGCGTGTCCCCTCAGCCTTAGCACACACCCCCTTCACGCCGAGGCCAATGGACAACATCCATTTCAGCAAACAGACTCGGCTCAGGGAACTGTTCGGAGAAGTCAGGTGATTGGCCTCCCAGGCCAGGGTGGGACCCAAGTCCAGAGAGCCACAGCCGCCTGCCCTGCCTGTCACCCTCCCGGGTATCTGGGCCTTCTGTCTGGGTGGGCAGTTTGGGTCTCTCCATCGAATGCTTCCCCATCCCCTTCCCCTTCACCCAGCCTCTTGGTTCAAACCCCCAGCAGGCCCTGAAGCCAAACCACAACCTCCAAGTTCCAGCTCCCAACTCCCAAGTGGGAGAATCTGATGGGGACAGCTTGGATGAGGCCTAACCTGGTGGAGTCAGTGGGTCAGGGCAGGGTTGGGGACGCCCCGAGCAGGTCAGCCACGCTGTGGTGGCAGGCCTGCTGCAAGCGGGCATGTGGGACAGCTGAAAGTGAGAGGCGGGCACTGGGGCCAGGGAGAGAGGCCGGTGTCTGGGGCAGGGTGGGTTCCGGCTGGGAGAAGTCAGTCCCGGGCCCAGCACACGGGAAGGCTGCCTGCACCCCTCAAGGGCTCGAGTGCCCTGCTGAGGCACTTGCATCTCACGCTGGAGACGCTGGGGAACCTGGGGCTGGTCCAAGCAGGGGAACGAGATGAAGGCCTGCCCCCCAGGCTGGCTGAGGCCTGCAGGGCCACAGGGCTGGTGCCGGGGCGGAGGGCCTTGAGTGTGTGTCCGCTGTGACGCGGAGCCCCTCCTCCCCAGGACGCCCTCGGCCTGCAGGCGCCTTTCTTCTTCTTTGCCGCCGTGTGCTCCGTGAGCCTGGCCTTCACCGGCTGCTGTGTGCCCGAGACCAAGGGCCGGTCGCTGGAGCAGATCGAGTCCTCCTTCCGCAGCGGGAGGAGGTCCTTCCTATGCTAGGGCGGGGCCCCCGCCGTTGAGGGCCAGACCACTGGGTGGTGGAGCGTGTCGGGGCCCCAGACCTGCACCCCGCGTCCAGGAGGCGGTGTCAACCCGCCGCCAGCCAGGGCACAGGAGGACCGGCCAGAGGCCTCACGGCACGGCACACGCACCGGCTCTGGGCAGGCAGCACCCCATCCAGCCTCAGCCCTGGCTCAGGTGGCCCCAGTGTCACCCACTCATCGGCCAGACCCGCCGACGGAGGGGGCGGCCACGTGGCCCCGGGGCCAAGGCCTTGTTGGGCGACCTCGGGCCTAGTGCTCGCTCACGCGTGGAGGGCCACGCAGAGGACACACAGGGCTGCTGGCGGTGGAGCGGCTCCGCACAGGGACGTCAGCCCTCTCCTGCCCTGATCACCTGGCGGCCACTGAGCCTCTTGGCTTTGGGGACCAAGGCAGAAAACTGGGCCTGTGAGGCCTATGGACACCGCAGGGACCGTCCTGGACCCCCGAAGGCCAGGACCCAGCGTGGACACTCCCTCCTACATCCACCCGCCTTCTGGGAACGGGAAGCGCTCGAGTTCAAGCTGTGTTCACCCTATTTATACAAATAAATCGGGCCTCGGCCAGGAGAGGAAGGAGTGGGGTTGACTCCAGAAAGCGGGCCTCGGCCAGGAGAGGAAGGGGTGGGGTTGCCTCCAGGGGGGGGGCCCCCCCCCCCCAGCAGCCAGGCTGGGCCCAAACTCTCAGCCGAGGTCGCCAGGGCCTGCTGCCCCAGGCCACCTCTCTACGGCCACGCCAAGCTGCCCACAGCCAGGCAGAAGGAAGAGGCGAGGGCCGTGGGCCCCCCGGCCTTGGGCTTCCAGCCCCTCCTAGCTGTGCGAGCTCGGCCAAGCCACCGTCCTTGTCTGAGATGCTGGGAGCAGGCCGGCACAGGGCCAGCAGCATAGGGGACCTCGATACCGTGGCAATTACTCCCGGGGCTGGCCCCTGCTCAGCCGGTGTAGGGTCGGGGCATCCCTACCGCTTACTTAGTGCCGCGGAGGGAGACGGTAACGGGCGGACCACGCGAGAGACCATACAAATCGCTACCAGGCTTTATTGCTCAGAATGCAAGCCAAACACTGAGAGTAAACAAGGACCACGAGAGGACAGAGCCCAGGGCCGCAGAGGAGGGAGAGGGCCCTGGCGGCCCCGCCCTTCCACCACCCGGCCAGGTGGGACCCCCCCCTGCCCCCCGACTGGGAGACAGGATCGCCGCTCCAGGGCTGCTCGGCTACACTCATTCGGAACCTCGTCAAGTGACCTGCCCACTCTGGCCTGTGACCGAGGGGCTGGAGGGCCCACCCAACCGCCTCCCAGGGCAGGAGCGCAAAAGCTTCCTAAACACACAGCCAGCCTTTCTCCTCCTGCAGCCGAAGACCCCCATCAGCAAAAAGGCCCCGGAGGCAGGGGTAGGAGTGACCCCAGAGTCCCACTCCTGGGTAAGAATGAGCCAAGAGGGGCAGGCAGGGCCCCTGCTCCTCCTGGGAGGTAGACAGGCCTCATTCACGGCACACGCAGGAGACACACACACACACACACACACCCTGCTGGCCTGGAGAGACCTACAGCCCACAGCCCTTTGAACCCAGTGCTGGCCTGAGGAAATTGGTCCCGGAGGACCCCTGAAGGCACGTGTCGGGCTCCCTGGAGAGCTGCTGGGGGACGCTGCTGTGCCCGGGACGGTGCCTGCCCTCCCAGCCTCAAACACTAACAAACCCCAGAGATGAAAAGTCCCTCTGGGAAGCAAAGACCGGGGTGCAGCCCTGGGGCTGGATCCACAGAGCAGGAGCTGGCCCCTGGGCTCTGGGCGCCCAGAGCAGGCCCAGCCTGGGGTCCCGGGAGGGGCAGGAGCTGAGCCCCACGCCACCCGGGCGGGCCAGGCCTGTCACACACGCCAATGGCTGAAACCAGTCCAGCAACCAGAGCGGCCGGTGGGCAGGGCGGAAGGAAGGGACGGCGCACGGAGGGAGGCTGGGGAGACGACGCGCACGTCCACACAGGCCCCGCTCCCTGGTGGCCTGGCACCCAGCGCAGTGGGGCAGCTCACGGTGGGAGCAGGGGCGGCTCTAGCCTCTGCCCAGCTGTCAAAAGGCAGGAAGCTCCCCGAGGACAGGGCGGAGCGTGGGGTCAGCAGGTCCACACCAGAGGTGGACGGACAGCCCCGCGGGGCAGGGGAGAGCCTGTTCTCCGCACGTCCTTAGCACCGGGGCCTGGGGGATGGGGAGAACCTAGGGCTGGCCAGGCCCACGGGAAGGGTCCTGGTTCTGTGCTAGTCCAAGCTTCCTGGGAACCGGGGGAGGGAGCACACCCCGACCAGCGGCTGGGTCACTACCTGGGCTGCCGTCGCGGGTCGGGAGCGCTGTGGGCTCCCATGGAGAACAGAGTGGCAGGGGGTGTGGGCAACAGGACACCGCTCCGCCCTGATGACAGGAGGACAGAGGCAGCCCAGGTGGCTCAGCTTACGGGATGCTCTCCTGCCTGGAGGGCTGAGAGGAGGCCACTGTGGCCAATACCCAGGCCTGGGTTGATGTACCTCCCACCTCAAGACGTGACCAAAGTCTCCAAAAGCATCCCCTCGCGGGCCTTCAGCAGGTCTCGGGGGTCCTGCCAGCTGTGTAAGTCTGGAAACCCACCCAGGGGCCTCTTGCCGGCAGGCCACGCGAGCTGGGAAGAGTGGGGTCAGGCGGGCTGTCTACAGAGCACTGCAGGCTCCGCGCGGGCTCACGCCCCGAGGCCTGGATCACCCCGAGGCCCCTGCTGCCTGCCGCCACCTCCCATCCCCTCGATGCTGGCCAAGGCCCTCAGGGCCCTCACCCCAGCCCCTCGGCGCCTGGCTTGGGGTGATGCCAACCTGGGGCAGGGGCAGACAGAGGAGGACTCCAGGTGCGGGGACAGGTGAGAGGGACTGAGGGAGCTGGACACAGGCTCCTCCTCTTCCAGGCTGCCCCTCAGGGTCAGTGTGCCTCGGGGACGTGCTCACACAGACCAGAGGGCCGACGGGGGGGTGGGAGGGCCCCCCGCGCCCCCGACCACATCACAGCTCCCCCTCCAGGGTGTCCGTGAGCTTCTCCTCGTCCGCCTGCTGCTTCTGCTGCTGGATCCTGGCGTAGGAGATCGCGTCGCCCCTGGGGAGAGAGCCAGTCAGCGCCGCATGGGGGACGGACCCCAGACACACTGCTCTCCCAGCCTCCGCCCTATTCCAGACCTGTGACCCAGGTGTGGCCTGCAGACAGAGCCTAACGGGCCCTCCGGTTTCCCCAGGCAGAGACCCTGTTGCTAGGATGGCGAAGATACGTCTTGTCACCTCTAAGGGTGACACAGGCTGCCTGGGATGCCGGGCTGAGGATTCGGATTCTCAGTCTGGGCTCCGCGAGAGAGGGTGAATGCTGACCGCGGAGCCAGGTGTGGGCCCCAATGGGAAGAGGCTCTCAGTAGCCATGCCTCTGCCACCCCTGCTACAGGCTGTGACGAGGTACGACGGGGCCACCAGGGAGTCCCGTGAATTCTCCTGCTCTCACTCCCTAGAGCTCGGACACCCTGGAGACACGGATGGGGGTCACTGGCAGCCTCCGTGCTTCCGCTTCCACAGCAGAATAACGGGGGCCACTCCCGGCCGTCTCCTCCCTGTGAGACTGCAGGACGCGGGAAGTCAAGAGCCCCCGCCCCGCGGGCTGGGCCCAGCACACGCACTTCTTGCCCAGAGCAGACAGTCCGTACAGCACTCCGGTGGCGAAGGCGATGGCGTTGCCCAGCAGTGTGGTCAGGGTCAGGCTGATGACGATGGGAACGACGGCCATCCTAGAGGAGAAGCAGGCGTCAGAGGGCACTACCAGCCCGCGGCCACGCCGCCACTTCCAGCTTCCCAGGTTCACCCAGCTCCCTTCCCAGCCAGCCAGGTACAGGAAGGGTCCCCAGAAATCAGGTGGGGCACAGGTGCACAGCCGGGCTTCGTAAAGTCCTCAAACACCCGTGAACTTGTCTGTACAATTCTGTGCATTTTCTGGGGAGAGAACCCAAAGCTTTCATCAGATTTTTGAAAGGATCTGTGATCCAAACAGGGTTAAACAGCACTAAAATGGCCCAAACCCCTGTGTATAAAAACAGGCAGACCAGAAAATCCAGTGTCAGTTCAGTCCCCTAGCGGCTTTGTGACTGGGGGCAAGTTACTCAACTGAGGCTCAGCCTCTCTACGGTAAGGTGGGGATCAAACCTCAGAGGTTTTGAGACTGAATGAGATAAGGCATGTTAAGTACTTAACACGATGCCTGCAACAGCATAAGCACTAAATAAATGTTGGCTCTTATCAGCGCAGTAAAACCAGCCGTATGTCAACAAGGAAGATCCCAAAGGTTAAAGTGCACAGGACACGGGGCTTCCTTATTGCAAGGTGCACGCCAAGAACGGCTAACTGGCTGGTGAGGCAGCTCTGTCTGGTCCAGGCTGGCACCACCTGGAGACAGGTGTCCACTCTGGCTTAATTATCCATGGGGCCGATGCCTGGTCCCGGTTGGGATTTCCAGACCGGTGGCAGTGACTTGGGTTAACACACACACCCTGTACACAAGGAAGACAAGACTCTGCTTAGACTCTTCTTGCACTCAACCAAATGAATTCTACCTGAATTTCCATTTGGGCGGGACGTGTGAGCATGAGGTTTTACTGAAGTTATAAACTTTCTAAGTAAAAAAATAGTCATAGAAATTGCAAAGGAAAAGAAAAGACCATGGGGGAAAATCTGTAAAAACAAAACTAAAGGCAAGCAACAGGCTAGAAATACATTTGCAGGAAATAAAACAAAAAATTAAGAAATCTTTAATATAGAAACACATGTAACTTACTAAGTAAAATGTTACAGTGTGAAAAGGTGAAAAGGAAACTAGACCCTTAACTACCAAAAACGAAAATGCAATTACAGAAAAAGATTTTACCTTACATAACAGATACAAATGTGAAAAGGGCACACTGGCCCTGGGCCAGGGGAAAGACA